GCATCTAATGTCAAGTTGTATGACCTCATATCTTCAACTGTGGAATATTCTTCTCTTGGATAGTATTTGCCATCTATGTTTATATGATATTTAATACCAGGGTTGTAGAAACAAGAATAGTCATTTATAGTTCGTCTGAACAGTACAAACATAGTATCTGCATGTTTCATTGCAGTTGTTAAGGCAATATCTGTTCTTGCACCTGGGTCAGCACTTTGGTTTCCAACTTCACCTGCAAAGTCTTTGACAGATATTTGGTGTATAGGGAACTAAGTGGAACTGCAATATATTGGCAGCTAAAGCATTTGAAATATCTGGGTCCAACATATAGACTGCAAGTCTGCTTTCTATTCTCTTGCATTCAAAACTTTTCGCATGTGAACTTAACTGGGTCCCAAGCAGTTCCAGCAGCATTGAAATAATAGTTTTTCAGTGTTGAGGTTTGAGAAACAAAGTCTAAGTCAACTTTGTCTTTGCAAAATTCGGCGAATGACGTTTGATTTGCTCCCTTTACGTCTGTAAGAGTGAATGGGTCTTGTGTTGGTGCAATGACTAAGTTATTTTTGCTTGGAGTAAGTTCGATAGAAATTTTTCTGCCCAGTTTGGCAAGTATCTTAAAAACCTGAGATGAGGAAAGATGACAAAGGAACTCTAAGTTTCAGTTTTACTTTGGTTACTGCTGCTGCAGTTTGTCCAGAAAGGTCAACATAAACTCCTGGAACGTTAGGGTCAAGTCTTTATTTTCTCAATAGTTGCATACTGGTCTGTTTGTTCTCTAGCTTGTGGTTGTACTGAGTTTCTCAAAGCGAACCATTTCATAGTTTGCCCATGTTACTGTTAAGAACTAGAGAGTTAGAATATATCTTAATATCCCATGAAAACTTCTGGAGCATATTGGTATCCGACATAGAAAATTCCATTGCAACCTTTCTTGTCAGACAACTTGGCAGAAGGTTTTTATTTCAATGTCTTGTTCCACGTATAAGAATGAGTTGTCAATAGAAATTATATGAAACCTGTCGCAAGCATATATGTTGTTGAAGAACCTTCTCCAAACTCACCTACGTTTCCATAAGAACAGCAGTTGTATATTCGTAAGTTCCAGGAACTATTTCTGACCTTCTAATGCATTGTCGCATTCGTTATACCATTCGGAAACATTTCCATTCATGGCATCCCAAAACTGTTGGCGTTATATTCTGACGGCGTACATTTCATATGGGTAAAAATATAGAATAGTTGGATTTATATGTATAATAGAACCACGTGACCAAGCTTTACTTTCTTCCTGACTGAGTTTTTAACTCTTCTTTTTCCTTCATTGCCACTACTTTCACTAGATGAAGTTACTTTTCACTACTTTCACTTTGTTCTACTCTTTCTTCTTCTTTGGTGTCGCTTTTGGTAACTTGCCTCTGCTTCAAGTTGTTGCATCTTTGCCTCATGTTCATCTAGTATGTTGCAAATTTCCATGTCCTTTTTGCTTTGGGCTCTGGTCGCCCATCTCAGGTAACCTATATCCTAGAAAGAGTTTGTCATAGTTTGTATTTGAGTCGTCGCTTATTGTTTGCATGACTCTGTCTGAGTTTCCGGTTCAAGCTCTTCAAACAGTGCCTGTCCATATGGAATAAGCTCGTTTCCAAATATATGTTTTTGTAGCCATTCTGGTTTCTTTCCATGTTACCAACTATATCTTTTGTGAATGGGAAAGCTTTTACCCAATCTTTCAGTCTTGCGTCGTTTATTTCTGTAGTTGGTTTTATTTTGTCAAGGAACATGTTTTTCAATACTAACATTTCATTTGTACTGTCCATTGAGTTTTCTTAATATTCATCCCTTCTCAGTTCATTGTCTGCAAAGTAAGTTTTTATGACATTTTGTAAACTTTCGTTTGCAAGGTCATGTACAATAGGTTCTCTTCCTTCTCCTCCCTAACTTTCTTTCTAAACTCTTCACCAAATATACCATCTCTATGGTTCTGTGTAGTTCTTTGAGATAAATGTTCTAGAACGTCAGGTGTTATATTTCCATCAGCCATGTTCATTTCATACTGGTCCAAAATATCTGCATGTTTCATATCTTTCAATGGCATTAAAGCCGCGCTTAAAATACCAGCTATATCTCGTTCACCATTGACTTCCATTGCGTCTACAACTTCTTGGAATTGTGGTTGTAAGTTTATGAACCACCTATCCGGATTAGCTTTATGACCCCATCTCATTGTAGTTCCATCGTCTGCAGAAACAAAAGTAGGTTTGTTTCCATCTTGGTTAGGTTCTGAATGAACTTTAAACAATGTTTCATTTCTATATGTTTTCTTGAAATTTAACCTTTTATTTTCACCGAGTTCATCCGAAGATTGAACGTTAAATGCTCGTAAGTAAAAAGGGTTGTATTTGTGTACATTTTCTTTCAGTTCTTCCATTCTATGCTGAATATTTTCATCTGGTGTTGGAGTCTTTTGTATGTCGGCAAACATTTTTCGATATTCTTCTACTATGTCAGCCGAATTTTTTTTAGACTCTTGGAAATATTCCATATTCTCCGCATACACTTGTTGAGGGTCAAGATTTTTCGGCTGTTCCAAATCTTCATCTAGTTCTGTGAAGTTAGTTTCCAAAGAGTGACTTGTTCGTTTCCTTCAGGCTCTTCTAGCTGTTGTTGCTGAACTATTTCTTCCATGTCTGGTTGTATCTGAACTTCTTCCTGTGGAGTTTCTTGTACCTCATCTGCTGGCATTTCATATATTCCGAGACCGTTTTCAACAAGTTCCCTTTCTAAGTCATCCGGACTCACAAACCTTTCTTCTTTCGTTCCGTCTCTATTTTTTACGCGTTTCATGAAGAGAGTTAAATTGTCATTTAGCTCTGACATCAAATATCTCGGAGTAAATTCGTTCATGTCATTTGGATGATATGCTATTAAATCATATCCCTTAGCGAGCTTGTATTTTCCAGGTTTGAGATTATATCCCCTTTGGTGCAGAGCCATAAAGCTAAATAGGTTCGGGTCAGTATTTCCATCCTTAACTTTCGAATAGCTTCTTTATATCGGTCACTAAAGTCAATAGTATCTGGGTAACCATAGTCTTCTTTAAGCATTTTTAAGAATTCTTGGTTTCCTTGTTCTCTACTTCTTTATGTCCTTGCTCTGTTTGTGTTGTTGTGCAGGGTTTTGAACTGTTGGTTGCTGTGCTGGTTGTGGAGGTGGTTGTTGTGCAGGGTTTTGAACTGTTGGTTGCTGTGCTGGTTGTGGAGGTGGTTGTGTTGGTTTTGGTGCATGCCTGTGTCTGTGTCCATGTGACGATGTAAATGTTTTAGGTAGTCCTGGTGCAGGTGCTTCTCTTGGAGGTTTGGTGGTATATAAGTTCACTAGCTAGTATTATAAGTTCCACCAGCTGGTATATAAGTTCCACCAGCTGGCACATATGTTCCATCTGCAGCATAATGTCCTACCTGACTTTTCGTTTTTAAGAAAGCATTTACTAGGTCTGTTTTGGTCTGTTGTAACTCTTTTTCTTGACTTTCACAACAGTTGCTCTAACGGCGTCATAGCACTTTGAACTGCCTGTCTCGTTGCTGCATCTGTTATTTTCGTCATATTTTGTGCTACTTCTTTTAACTCTTTGTCGAAACCTTCAGACTTCAGTTTCTTTCCAGATGAGAAGTCGTTCACTAGTTTCACCTTACTATGAAGAGCTTCGAAGGCGTTCTTAAAGTCAGCATTTGTTAAAGCTTCATTTGAACTGTCTTCATCCGCTTGTATTTTTGTCCTTATTGACCCTATAAGCTGGGCTGCTTTAGCGTTGGCTTGGGCATCTAACCAGTCATTGTTAGCTTTTATATATCTGCGCTTTTCATTGCCTTTTGCATGGCTGCGTCGTTATTTTTACTTTCTAGTGCTAAGTTTTCATACTGTACGGTTTGGTTTTGCAACTGTAAAAGTTTTTCTGCCTTTACATTTGCTTCAACTTCTTTTTTATACTCATCGCTATCCATATATGTCTTTATGGCTTTTGTTTTATCTCTTCATCTTCAGTACTTTATATTGAGTAGTATGGTTTTTCAAATTTAAAACATCTTGTTCCATTTTTGCTACTTCTGCTGCTTTTTCTGACACTTTTTTCGCATATTCCTCTGTACTTAGTTTTTCAGTTGTTCTTCTTTTTCTTTTTCTCTACGTTTAACTCATTGAGTTTCTTTGTGTGTCTGTCATATTCTAGTTTCTTTTCGTTTTCACTTATTTGCTTCTGTATGTCTATGTTTGACTTTTTGACATCTGTTATTTGATTTTGAGTGAACTCAAATTCATTTGACTTTGAGGGTTATATGCTGTTCCGTCTGCAGCTCCACCATAGCCTGCCATTTTCGCTAAAAGTGCCGCTCTTAAACCTCCACTCTGTGCACCAAAAACTCGGTTTAAGAGCATAGGATTGCTTGACATTTGTTGCAACATAGTGGGGTCATTCAGCATTTGTTGTTGCAACTGTTGTTGTGGTGTCAGTCTTACTATTGAATGTTTCAATGCTCTCTTCCTCTTACGTATATTCTTACGTAGCTTACGTGGCATTTTAAGTGAAGTTAAAAAGCTGTTTTATACTAAACATCTTCGGGGCTAGAGGGCACGAAGTGCCTGGAGGCCCCAATACCTTTTTTTTTTTGATAAATATGGTAAAATTGATTAGTCATCACCTTTAAAACATGATGCGATTAAAGAATTGAAAAGAAATTTAAAAAGGTCATATCCAGCTGATTTACCCAATGATGTAAAAAGATTTGTTGAGTGACATAATGTGAGACCCTAATTTTTTCTGTACAGGAAACAAAAATATTGGTCATTCCTCACAGGGATGTTTAGGACGAGAAAATAAATATTTAATTAGTGATTTTCTAGTTGTAACGTACAAATTTTATATAAATTTTTTAAAAAGTAATATGACTTTTATGAATACCACTGCAAGATCGAATAGCTCGGATGACTCAATGATATCTAATACATCAATGAGTGGGGATGAACTTCGAAATTTCTTGCGAAATCCCATAGATTCTCGATTAAATTACTCGAATCAACAAATTAGCCGTGAAATGATGATAGTTCCATCAACAAGATCAAACTCTACTAATAAAGTAAATAAAGATGTTATTACACATGAGTGGGAAAAAAGATTCACAAAAATGAAACTTCGGCAAGCTCATGCACAACAAAATAGAATCGTGGAGCCATTTCTCTTATTCAATGCAACTGCAAAATCATCAGATCCTCTTCACAGACTTTCGGTAGAAGAAATTGTTGATTTAAGAACTAAGAATACAGGACAAATACAAAAGAGAGCCCAATCACAACTTCCTCAGTTAAGAAAAATAGGTGCATCTCTAAGAACAAATCCTATAACAAGAGGAACTTTTGCAGGATATTAATCTTCTGATCCTTAATTTCCACATTATATTATTATCTATCTGTTTATAATAGTAAATATATCCATGTTTGAATGCTTTTTCAAAGTACTTCTACCCTACTTTCCCAACATTTAGAATAAGGTTATTGCCCTAAAATTCAGTTATAGACACTTAGGAGAGCATTTAAACCATGATATTTTGGCATATGATAGAGAAACATCTTATAAACATTTTCAGTATGTTTTCCTATAAAATAACGATCTCACATGAAATTACTAAAATATCAAATTTTGATTTTCACTTTAAAGTTGGGAGAATACTCTACAGTGACAGGGTATACAATTTTAACCTTTGTTTTGATTATAAATAAAGTATTGATAGAGATATGAGTTGTACAGAATTATACACGTGTGTTTAATCACATGTAAGTTGCGCAACAATAATGGTTAGCTAGATAGTATATTAGGGAACTGTGATTTATGATCTAATTCAATAAGATGTAAATGATATTCAAATATATTAAATAAATGCAAATCTATATAGAATCAGTTAGTTAATTATTGTATATAGATATTTTGTTGCATGCTAAGTTCGGTCAACGATAGAAATTGTGTGGAAATTAATCATCGAGGAAGTACGATTATGTAAAGTAAAAAAATGTTGTGGGATTTTAATATTATATATTATTTATAATAAAATTTTTTTGAGTCATTTTAAGAAGCACATATAATTTTTTGAATTTAAAAATTAAAGTAGTGTCAAACGAATTTATCACTTAATTTAATACTCAGATTTCTTAAAATTAATGAAAAAAAGGTTTTCTGAGAACTTTTGAGAATGGTTTTCAAATTCCATTATTGAAAATATATAGGTATTGTATGAAATTCAAACTCTATATTATTAAAATTCTAAATTTTAATAAAATAACTTTTCAGAGGAATATGATTTTGAATGGTTGATTAATAAGTATAAAAATGTCTACGATTTTAAGGAGGGAATTGTTCCTTATGAGGTATACATCATAACTATACCTCATAAGGAACAATTCCCTCTTGATATCCTGAATATTTTTGAATATATTTTTTGAATTAAAGTTCTCAAAAGTATTATCAAAAGTGATTTTAAAAAATATCTCCAATTAATTAACTAATTAAAAGTATTATATTTTTAAAATTAAATAGTTTTTCAATTTTTTTGAAGGAATTGAGATACTTCCCACGACAATAAAATTGAGAGGTTTACATTATGACTGATCTTAGCATGCAACAATTTTACTGTGATTAATGAATTTTTTAACAATTTAAAATTATCAAATTTCAAAATATGCGCAATGAGATAATTTGAGAGTATTTTGAGAACTGAAGACTTATGATTTGGTGTTTTTGAATAAGCACATCAATATAAAGATAGAAAATAAATTGAGATATAATTTTTTTGAAGGTATTATAAGGGTGGAGGTAGTAGGATGAATTTTTAATGTTCTATACTTTCATGGCAAATAATTAAATAGAAGTAAAACTTTGTTTTAAGAATTGAAAATTTTAAATAAAAAAGGAATGTTAGTAATGCTAATTTATTTGATTCCGGGGAACACCCCGGTTATCAAATATATTTATTAGAACGGAAAATCTCTCACTTTTCGAAAAAATCGAAACTGCAAGGATCTCCGATTCTCGATATGATAATTTATTTGATTCCGGGGAACACCCCGGTTATCAAATATATTTATTAGAACGGAAAATCTCTCACTTTAGTAGTATATGAGTGCGGGTTGTGTGACTTTTTTTGTTGCATCTATATATAGACGATGCATTAAAATATATTTATTTATAAACACATTAATTTTTAACATTAATTTTAAAATAATTTATTTTTTATCTTTTATAAAAGAAGCTATATATAGATGATGTCAGATATTCCGCGATTAATTAAACATTGTTTAAATCCTGAATGGGTTAAACTTCAATTTAAAAATGAAGATTGTGAATTATTAAATGAATATGAAAGCCAAAATAAGCTAATGAGGTATAAATATAATGATAAAGAATATTTAATTTCATGGAATCAATGGAGTCATAATCAAAGACCTCATAAACGAGAAGAAGAAATTGAAAATAATGAAATGGAAATCATTGATGACATTAAAGAGGATGGAATTCCTAAATTTTGTAGAAAAACTTTAGAACTAAGTTAGGAGCATATAAACGTAGAGTATTAAATCCTGAATATCTTAAACATCAATTTAAAAAGGAAGACTGTGAATTATTAAACGCTAATGAATATGAAAATGCTAAATCAAAACTGAGATATAAATATATTGGAAGTGATGAAAGGTGTAAAGATAAAGATAAAGTTTATACAGTTTCATATAATAACTGGCACACGTTAGGGATAAGAAAACATTTAGGAGATTATGGTAAAAGTTCCGAATTTTTCAAATCTAGTATGTACGAGAGAATAAAAGAAATCAGATATAATTATCATTCATGAATGAAAAATAAACTTTAAAATTCATGTCTTACATTTTTTGAATAATTTATTTTTTTAATTCGTATGAAAATGAGTGGATCAAGATTCGTAACCGTCAATCAATTAATGGATGTTCTTTCACCAATTCTTGAAAATGTTAAACAAGTAGATGTTTATTTCGATGATTATGTAGAAAGTATATATTATAAAGGTAAGTTTAATATTAAACCTATTGCTTTTGCATTTGATAATAAATTAATTGAAAATGCAAAAATTTGGGAATTAATTCCAGATATTGAATTTATAACAAATATTAATGATAAATGGTTTAAACGAATTCCAACCACAAAAGTTCTTTGTAAATTAATGATCAAAACTGAGGAAAAAGAATTTAACGGGTTTAAATATCATCCAAATAAAGTTTTCAGAACTAGAAAATGAAAAACTTCAGAAAAAATTAAAACGATAGACTTTCAAAGATCGTATTGAAAAAATAAATAAACTAGCAGAAGTTGCATTTAATAATGAAATATTTGATGAATATAACCTTGAACTCAGTGATGGACTTTAAGTCCTGGGCACTTTGTGCCTTGAGCTTTAAGGACCCGGGCTCAACGAGTCATGATTTATGAAATCAATAATTTGATTTATTCGCTCTTCAATAATTTCTATTCTTTTTGTTAAATCATCAATTTTCATTAATGAGGTGATTCTTGATTGAGGAATAGATTTTAAACTAACAACACCTTTTATTTTTGAAATTGAGAGAGGGTCAAAGTTGCTATTTGTCACTTTTCCACAAGAATATAATGGGGAAAAAGTTATCATATAGTTGATCTCATTTACTGAGGTGAGAGATGCATGTAGTGTAATGGGATAAACAGTGGGATTGCTGCTCCAAGTCCTAGGTTCGAGACACATTGGCTTCATTTTTCTCCTTTTTATTGACGTAAACTATTCAATTTTTGTGTTCTCCATTCAAATTTCAGAATTTTTTTTTGCAGATTTCACGCTACATTCGAAGTTACCTTTTGTAACAACCACCACTGCCTACGAAAGACGAAAGTGTGTCACGATTTCACCCGGAAATCCGACGGTTGTTTAAGAGTATGCACTTTTGTCACCTACTCTTTTTGAAATTTTGAATCCATGACCCTCCGGGTCTTGGACTCTGTCCTCAACTTTAAACATTTTATTCAATTTACATGTTGTCAATTCTTCAAATAATTTTTTATTATTAGCATAATAGTCATTAAATTCATCAACAGATGAAAAAATTTTTATTTCAGTAATTGGTTTAACAACGTTTATTTTTTGTTGAACATTTTCACTTTCATTTATTTCTTCCTCCTCTGTTTCATTTATTTTTAAAATCGGTTTCATTTATCATTAAATAAAAAATTAGAATATAAGTGATGAAATATATTTTTTAATTAATATTAAATCAGAGATGGCGGCAGGATTCTTAAAAAATTATGGGAAGGAATTAAGAAAGCTGCAAGTTGGGTTCATCAAAAGATTATTAAACCCGTTGCAAACTTTTTGGCACCAGTAGCGAAAACGGCAGGAATATCATAGGAGTATTAGGTGCTAAAGCAGGTAATCCGGCGATGGGAGCACAAGCAGGTAACGCAGTTGGTGGAATTGCTGAAGGAATACTTAATAAAATAGGGGTAGATAGTGGAAAAATAAATATTATTTTTATCTTAGTATCGGTTGTAGTCGACGATAAACCTTATCTCCTTTATTTAATACTTCCCTTACCGGAACATTAGGTGCTATTTGTTCAGCAACGTCACTAATTGCTTCTTTATTCTTAAATTCCAATTTGCTCCTTTCTTCATTGTTTCCCAAACTTTATGCGCTCCCTCTTTTTACTTTATCCCACAGTTTCTTAAAGAATCCTGCAGCCATAGTTGATTATTTCATTAAAATTAAAAATTCATTTTCATCTTTTAATTTTGATTTTTTATTTATTAATAAAATGACGACTAACTATTTGGTGCAAACACTAAACCGATTAATGGAAATGTAATTTCATTCATTCGAAAAGATAAATGAAATATTCGCAAAGAATGATGGTAGAAGATATTATAGAGAACTTGAAAGTTCATGCTATGACTCTGATGCTCCATATTTTTGATGATAAACAAACTCATTTAAGAATTACAAATCCGGCTCATGATGTGAACCAACTAGGTGACACATATATTAAACGCCAAAGTTAAAGCAACTCTAGTTTCAAATAAAGCTTTCACATGTGATGCCGGCTTTTAAATGCATGCGTTTATTCGTTGGTTATAAATCATCAAATCAAGCTTTAAAGCAATTAGAAGTAGAAACCGAAAAGAGGTGATTGCGGTTATCTTCAGATGGATTGCGCCCGTGAATCTTTCGCATTTGCAACATATAAACCAAAATCAGAAAGGAAAGTTAAAAAGTTTTGTTCATTCGTTATATAATAATTTCAAAAATATGATAACTCAGTAATGTGGTAAATATATTGACCCTTCAGAAGTTTTCAAGAAAGCAAATGAAAAGAAGTTTGATGT